TGTGTGCCATAGGTGCCAGGGATCCGTGTCCCCGGGACAGGCTGTCCCTGCAGGACTGCTGCACTTGCATGACAGCACCATGGGTGCCATGGCCACATGTCCTCCAGGGAACCATGTTGCCAGGACAGGGCGTCCCTGCAGCACCTCTGCAGCTGTGTGACAGAAGCATGGGTGCCATGGCCATGTGTCCTCCAGGGAACCGCATCCCCAGGAAGGGGTGTCCCTGCAGCACTACTGCAGCTGTGTGACAGCACCATGGGTGCCATGGCCACGTGTCCTCCAGGGAGCCGTGTCCCCAAGACAGGGTGCTCCTGCAGCACTGCTGCAGCTGTGTGACGGCACCATGGGTGCCATGGCCATGTGTCCTCCAGGGAGCCACATCTCCAGGTCCTTGCAGCTCTGCCCCCAGGTGTGTGATGGCACCCAACTGCTGTGTGTCCTCCAGGGACCCATGTCCCCAAGATGGGGTGTCACCACAGTGCTTCCCACTGGTTTCCCTGCTTTGTGGGTGCCATGTGTCCTCCAGACTCAGCCAGCCCCATCCCAGCCAGCACATCTCCAGCCACCTCTCCCCTGTCTTCTCCTTCCCAAGACAGACCCTGCTCCAGGGCAGGCTGAGCTCATCTGTTAATTGAAGACATCTGCCCAAAGGTGGCAATTTGGAGCCCTGGCAGCCCGGACCACAGGGCGTTTCTTTCCTGCCGTGCTGCTCTGTCATTATCTCGCTATATAAAGCCCCGCCGGCGGCAGGAGGGCTGGGTTTCCGGACCGCAGTCTTCCTCACAGCTATGCTGCTGGGGGAGACTTCCAACCCCTGGTTTTGCCAAGCAGACATGTCCCACCAGGAGCAGAAAAATAATATGATGATATTAGTAATAACACCCAAAGTTGTTCTCGATACCACGAGCATCACCCCTGGGCAGCTTTGCCCTCCGGGGCTGAGGCGCCGGCACCGGAAAGCGCTTTGTGCGGCTGAGGGCGGCCGGACCACCGCGCCGGGGTATTGTCCTGACGAGGAAATGGGTCATTTCCCGGAGAATTTCCAGCCCGGCCACGTTTCCGATGCGGCGGTGGGGAAGGGTGCAGGCGTGCTGGTGCCTTGACAGAAACCCTCAGCCTAATCCAAAGGGGATAAATAAAAGGCGAGCGCAGGGAGGAATAAGGGATGGGGGAGAAATCGGGCTGCTTAAGCAAGAAAAGAGGTGCGGAATAGTTTTTCTTGGCAGAAGAGCTCCGGAAAACACTGGAGGTTTTATCCAACCTTCCCTCGCTGGATGACGACAAGCCAAATTTCACGAATCGGGGTGAGATTTTAGCACATGTGATACACAGGAGGTCTGCACCCCTGCATGTGCTTTGTTTTCGGACTAGACCTCAAAAAGTGAAACCCCGTTGCTGTCTCCGTGCAGCCCTCATGGCTTGTAGCAAACCTGCTTTGGTATAAACAGGCAGATATTTGGGAGTAAAAATGGGTTTATAGGTTAAAAACCAGCTGCTCATCCCCAAACCTGCCCATCCACAGGGCGCTGGAGAGGGGTGAGAAGCCAGCGGCTACCAGGGCTCCGCCAACATGTCTCAACGCAGCCATCCCCCCCAGTTCAACACTGCCAAGATCTGGCCTTGGAGCCAACATCTGGGTGCTGCCAATAATCATAGAATCATCGAATGGTTTGGGTTGGAAGGGACCTTCAAAGATCATCTAGTCCAACCCCCCTGCAATGAGCAGGGACATCTTCAACTAGATCAGGTTGCTCAGAGCCCCGTCCAGCCTGACCTTGAATGTTTCCAGGGATGGGGTATCCACCACCTCTCTGGGCAACCTGGTCCAGTGTTTCACCACCCTCAGCGTAAAAAATTTCTTCCTTTTATCTAGTCTGAATCTACCCTTCTTTAGTTTAAAATTGTTGCCCCTTGTCCTATCACTACAGTCTGTCCCCATCTTTCCTGTAGGCCCCCTTTAAGTATTGAAAGGCCGCAATAAGGTCTCCCCGGAGCCTTCTCTTCTCCAGGCTGAACAACCCCAACTCTCTCAGCCTTTCCTTATACCAGAGGTGTTCCTCTGACCATTTTCTGTAGCCTCCTCTGGACCCGCTCCAACAGGTCCATGTCTGTCTAGTGCTGAGGACCCCAGAGCTGGAGGCAGTGCTCCAGGGGGGTCTCACCAGAGCGGAGCAGAGGGGCAGAATCCCCTCCCTCGACCTGCTGGCCACGCTGCTTTGGATGCAGCCCAGGATACGGTTGGCTTTCTGGGCTGCGAGCGCACATTGCCGGCTCATGTCCAGTTTTTCATCCACCAGTACCCCCAAGTCCTTCTCTGCAGGGCAAATAGCCCAGCCCCACAAAGAGCCGAGGGAAGAGGGAGCGGCGCGGGGCTGCACAATGCAACGCGGCCGGCGGCTTCCTGGAAACCACATCTGCAGCGGATTTGCAGCAATCATGTCAGAACTATGTCTCCAAACTCCTCCCTGCATTGTCTCAGGGGTCCCGGGCGATTAAAACACTCTGGAAGTCAGTTCCAACTGCGAAAATCCCTTTTCTTTTCTAATGCAAAGTGAGCAGCGTGGTGCAAAGAAGGTTTTCAATATAGGGATGGTGGGAAGATGATGTAGGACCAGTGGCTTTTAGGGATGCTGAGAGCCTGGGAGTTTTCTTAATGCATTAGGAGAAAAGCAAAGCAAAGCAAAGCGGTCGGAGGGAATGGTTGTGCTGGGAAATCCCGCTGGCCTGGGCAGATCTGTGGTGGCACGAGCTATGTTCCCTCGTGTTCGCCTCAGTCACCCCTTTTTGCAGGACACGTGGCAGCTCAGACCCTCCTGTACAGGGGGGATTCAGTGACTGCATCCCCCAGGACTTCCTGTGGTGTTGTGAAGCTGATTTAAAACCTGAAATAAAAGATTTCCTCCTGGTCCAGCGGCGTTAAACCCCATCTGGATTTTCTCCTCCCCAAACGGTCCTATTTCTAATTATTTGGCGTTAGTGAGGCTGGAGGTGTGATCCCAATTAGCTGTCGTCGTGGCAAACCATCCCTCCGAAATGCTCTTGGGCTTGCCAAGCTGCCTTCACCTCTATTTCTTTTAATTTCTTGTAAAGATCCCTTTTGGGCTGTTTTCCACTAGATTTCATTCTTGCACTGGGGTCCAGGGTCTGCGGAGGGTGACGAGCTGGAAACCCTCTGGGATGAGGTTAATTTTGGAGGCGATGCTACAGGCAAACCCATCGGCATGGACACGCGTCCATCAGCTGCTTAATGAAGCGTGTAATTAGCCTGCATGGTGCGGTGCGTCTCGGGGAGAGCCAGGATCCGTGTCCTGGCCCTGCCAGTCCGTAACAGAGACATCAACACTGTTGTTTGTCCCCGCTAATCCCTCTGCAAGCGGGGTGCCTGGTTGAAGGGGGGATTTAAAATGGCCTGGGCAGGCGTGAGGTCGGGTGTGGGGTGGGAGCGAGATCCCAGGGTTGAATAGGAGATCCTGGCGCTTCCATAAAATCTCAGCGAGTGGGAGGACGTGCGAGCACGGAGCAGGGCTGGACCACGGGGTGAAGATGTTCCAGCTCAGCACAAAGACCGGGATTGCTCCCACCCAGGGCTGGGGGAAGCGGGTGGTGGGGTTGGATGGCAGGATTGTACCATTTCCAGAGGGATTTTCCTTTTTTTTCCCCCTTCCGGATGACCTTGGAGGATGCCCACTCATTTCCATGGGAGCCATTGCATGAGAGAAGCCAGATCCCAAGGCACCGGTGGGGAAACTGAGGCAGGGCATCGGGAGTGACCCGAGACCCTGACCCAGTGGTGTGCAGTGCTCCTGAAAAAAACCAAGGAGCTGGAAACGCATTATTTCCGTGAGCGGGGAACGAGCTCTTCCCCATGTGGACCAAAACCACCTCTCCAAAAATGGGTGCACTTCCTCCCCTTGCCCATCCCTCCTCCTCCTCCTCCCACAAATCTGCTCCTGAGCCCAGCAGGTCCGGACAAGCATGGATCCTGCTCGTGCCAACACTCATCTCCAGATGCCACCCTTCTTCTCGACTCAAAGCCTCGCCATGTTCGGCAATCTGGCTTGGGGTCGGCTCCTCTGAGCGGGAGCTGAACCGTCCTGGGGATTTTGCTCTGTCTCATGCAAAATTATCGGTGGGTGGTGATTTTTGGGTGGGTGATTGGTGATTTTTAATGACACCGTCCGAGCCCCCCCAGGGAAAAGGTACCTGTCATCTCCCAAACCTCTAGGGTGGGCTTTGCCATCGTCCAGGTGAGATGGTACCCCAAAACTGGGTTCCTCCCCACATGGGGATATGGGATGAGGCGATGGTATAGGTCCATGTCACCCCAACCCCGTGTTTTCATCCATTGGCTCTTTTTAGCTCAATTTAAGAGGAGGTGCAAGCCTTGAGGTAACGAGCAACCAGTTAAAGAGCACCAAGGCATGGAGCCCCACCGATGCCCGGCAGTGGGAGTATGCCCCAACAGCCTACTAGCCACCAGCAAATCCACAAGTAAGGGTGATTTTTTATGGATGCTCCGGTGGGAGCATCTCCTGTGCCGGATGCCAGTGCCACCAGTCCAAACTTTGCATTGACATCATTAATGCATGTGGGGCAGAGCCCAGCTGGCCAAGTCCTCTCTGGGCTGCATGGGGCCACCATCATGCTCCACCCCATGCTGCTGCCTGCCCTGGAAGTCTGAGCACCCCATTTTTGGGGTTAAAAGCACCGTGAGCAGGCAAGGTGGTGGCCGGCTCCTTTATCTCCTTGCCAGGGAGGGTATAAAACCCCAGGGATGAAATGGCAGCAGCTTGAGCCCCACGGCAACTTAGGGACCACGTGAGGCTGGGATGGAGGAGGCGAGGGTTGCTCAGCCCAGCAGCTCCTGCGTTTATATCTCTGGGCATCCTACCATGGCTGGGCACCCCACCACGGTAGGGCATCCCACTGTGGCTGGGCATCCCACCGTGGTAGGGCATCCCACCATGGCAGGGCACCCCACTGTTTCCAGGCACCCCACCATGGCCAAAGATCCCACCATGGTAGGGCATCCAAATATGGCCAGGACCCCACTATGGCCAGGCTACCCACTGCGGCTGGGCACCCCACCATGGTCAGACATCCCACCGTGGCCAGGCACCCCACCGTGGCCAGGCATCCCACCATGGCCAAACATTCCACTGCGGCTGGGCACCCCACCGTGGCCAGGCACCCCACCATGGCCAGGCACACCACGGCCAGGCACCCCACCGTGGCCGGGCACCCCACCGTGGCCAGGCACCCCACCGTAGCCAGGCACCCCACCATGGCCAGGCACCCCACCATGGCCAGGCACCCCCCTCCCAGGCACCCCATCATGGCTGGGCACCCCATGGCCAGTCACCCCACCACAGCAGGGCACCCCATGGCCAGTCACCCCACCACAGCAGGGCACCCCATGGCCAGTCACCCCACCACAGCAGGGCACCCCATGGCCAGTCACCCCACCACAGTAGGGCACCCCACCATGGCCAGGCACCCCCCTCCCAGGCACCCCATCATGGCTGGGCGCCCCATGGCCAGTCACCCCACCACAGCAGGGCACCCCATGGCCAGTCACCCCACCACAGTAGGGCACCCCACCATGGCCAGGCACCCCACCGTAGCCAGGCACCCCACCATGGCCAGGCACCCCCCTCCCAGGCACCCCATCATGGCTGGGCGCCCCATGGCCAGTCACCCCACCACAGCAGGGCACCCCATGGCCAGTCACCCCACCACAGTAGGGCACCCCACCATGGCCAGGCACACCACGGCCAGGCACCCCACCGTGGCCAGGCACCCCACCGTAGCCAGGCACCCCACCATGGCCAGGCACACCACGGCCAGGCACCCCACCGTGGCCGGGCATCCCACCATGGCCAAACATTCCACTGCGGCTGGGCACCCCACCGTGGCCGGGCACCCCACCGGCACATCCCCAGCCCACAGCGCCGCTGCCACCGATACTCACTGTCCCCTTCCACCTTCTCGGGCGTCCGGCTCCAGATGATTTGCCGGGTCTCCAACTTCACCTGGAAGGTCCTTCGCTCTGGCCTCTGTGACTTCTTCTGATAGAATAAGGTGAGGACGGTGCCCATCTCCAGGCAGCGGAGAATCCTGCCCATGTCCCCTGCCTCCATCCTGCCGTCCTCCAGAAAGCCATTGACACTGTTGAGCCTGGCCACGGACATCTTCACTGCGCGGCCATCGCCCGGCAGAGCCGCAGAGCCGGGGTTTTCTCATGCAGGAGAGGACGAACCAAATAGCCGAAACCTCCCTGGGGATTTTCTCTGCTCGCTCCGGGCACAGGTTTCCTCTACAGCCGATGTCCCCTCCGCCGCACCACGGCCGCGGCACGGAGCCGGGCTCGGCGACGGGGAGGAAAGGGGTGGGCTGGAGGTGCCGTGACCTTCTCGCTGAGGCTGAATCCGGCCCTGGCGTTGGCATCCAGTGGCGGTGGGAGAAGG